CGAAGCCTATTGAGCTGGATTCGATGCGATGCCGGGTTCTTGTTTGAGGTATTCCCAAACACCCGACGACCTACGTCTAAGTTACTAACCCGCTCGCTCCATCCCACTTGGGCCAGACTACGTAGCCATCGATTGTCGAACACTGCTAAATGACGGATGCATTCTACCCGCAAGTTCAAGGTCTCTCAACCGTAAAGCAGAACTGATCGCAGTGGCGCAGTATACGCGACTTTTCAACTTCAATGAAACGTAACGTCGCCGCCACAGGTGTTTAAGTCCTGCGTATGCTGCTCGAGCCTTGGAAATGTGGGCAGTTATCTCTGTTGACGCGCTACCGTCGTTGGTCCCGCAGCTACCTAAGTACGAGAATCAGTCAACTACNCCTGACCGTCTAGTTTCAGAACAGAACTCGGCGATACCCAGTCTTGTAGCATCACTTTGCACTTCGAAGGTGCAAAGCACATACCGAACGGAGCGACAGAACTTGTTAATCTGTCAAGTGCTCTTTGCGCATCCTCCATAGATTCGAACAGGCAAATGATGCCGTCCGTGTACTCCAAGTCACACAGCTTTTCTCCAGTTGCCCATTGAATACCTACATTGTGGAGACCACTTAGTGTGTTCTCCAGTGCTTCGTCTTTGACGAAATTGAACAGTAATTGCAAAATAGGGCACTCTTGATGAACACCGCTGCTAGTTACGAATGACCTACCCAGCTCGCCGTAGACCCTACGCTACCGGAAGTATGTGAGTAGAGTGAACTCAATATGTTCACATACTTCTACGGCATTCCTTTGCGAAGGATTGAACCCATAAGGGATTCACGATCAACTGAATCGAAGGCTCCTATGAGGTCAAGGAACACAACAACCGTTGGTCGACGGTGCGTATGGCGTAGCTCGAGGACTTAACACAGGATGAAGATTTGATCAATACAACCGCGGCTTGGTCGAAATCCTGATTGTTGTTCGCGGATATTTGTCTCCCTAAACGGTGTCAGACGTCGAAGTATGATGGAGGCTAGTAACTTGATGATGCTTGGGATCAGACTTTTTCCGCAGTGGTTTGCGCGGTTGTTGCTAGATCCCTTCTTAAAAGTTGGAACAATCAGTGATTCGCTCCAAGATGAGGCAATACACTCGTGTGACCAGATGTCCCGCACTATATTAGTAATGGCGTCTACGAGGTCATCGCCTCCCATCTTGAAAAAAGTGGATGGAAGCCCTTCAGGTCCTGCTGCTTTTCCTTTCTTCAGGGCTTGGATATAAGATTGAACTTCTGCTACAGTAGGAGGTTAAGATAACACTTCCCATGGAGCCTCAACTACACCAGACGAGATAGTCTGGTTAGCATCTGGCTAGCTGAACTGTTCGGTGGAGTATTCCGCCCACCGGCCAAGCCGTTGTTCGCTATTGTGAATAGCCTGCCCACTTTTGTTGCAGATTGTTTCACTAACTGTGGTTCTCCGACCTCCAGTGTTGTGTATCAGTTGGAACAGTCTTTGACTGTTGACTGATGCAGCAGTGACTTCGATTTCATTAGCTATCGTTACCCACCAGTTCTCACGATCTTTCTTGAGGCTCTCCTTGATTTGTCGTTGCAGACACCGCCTACCCTTGCCTTGATCCCGGGCGGTTGGGGTTTGCTGCTTTTTCTCCATCAGTGCTACTGAATCATCGGATATCCATTGCCTGCGGTGAGCTACCGCTTCGGACGCACAAGCAACTCTCGCAGCGGAGTGCATTGCTCGTCCAATCTGATCCCATTGTTCATCTACAATACCACCCCGCCGAGCGTTTAGCTCTTGTCCTAGGTCTGATTCAAAACTTGTACGAACGCCTGGGTCAGATAAGCGATGATCGGCCAACCGAGTTTGGTGGTTTTTTTGTGACCAGTGAGTGTGAGAGTGAACTGCATCAACACTAATGCATGATCAGATTCAACGCAGGTGGTCCAATATGACCTGCAGTTTTCTAATTAGCCACGCCAACGGTAGCCTACTGCTATGTGGTCGATTTGAGTCAGCGTACAAGTTAAATTGGAGCGCCACGTTGCCGTCTGTTGAGAGCTGTGACGCAAGTTGGTGCTGAATAGGAACAGATGATGATCTGTGCAGAACTGAAGACGTCGATCGCCATTATCTGTTCACTGACAATGCAGAGCACAATGACCACCTAGGCAAGTTCCGGATGCGCTCAGTTTTCAGACTTGGGCGTTAAAATCATCTACGAGAACAACTATATATGGGAGCTTCGACTCAACAGAATGTGTTCGGTGAGTTTATCATAAAAGTCGTCCTTTTGTGCGTCAGAACTGCAGTTGGTCGGAGCATACGCTGAAATGATAAACAAACACCTTTTAATGTTGCTTCCCTTCCGGACGTTGATAGACCCTTGGAGCCGCATCGCGCATAAACGACTATTGACGGGAATCCAATCGAGTAGTGCAGCTTCGGCTTTATTATTGAGTACAATGCCCACGCCAGGCTTGCCTACTGAAAGGGCTCCGTCATCACGTGACAAGAGGAGGAAGAACCTCGAAGACAACTGCGGTGCACTTAAGTGGTTTATAGTACTAGCATCCTGGTTTCGCGTCTCCTATACGCAACAGACATCAATCCTCAAAGAGTCCATTGTACGCGCCAGACACACTTGTTGACCTATCTGCATCAGTCCTCATGTTGAAGGCCTCCAGATTGAGAGGTTGACGAAGCTTCAGAATCTGCACTTTGTGGTAAACTACTTACCGGGCTACTTAGCGACGAACTTTGGCGAGTGACGAACAAATTGTCTGAGGGAATGTTACGGGTTGAAAGAAGGGGTAAAAGGCGATTTTGGGTACGGAAGACAAAGAGTTAAACAAAGGTTGAGAAATCTGAGCAGTTGCCCACTTATCACTACCCACCCCGCTGGATGCAATGGGCAGCGTGGTCCTGATTATCCTTTGTGACGACCGATGTAGTATTGAATTCTATTTTGTTTGTGTATGCATTTGGGTTTGATGGACGGGTACTGTCAGGGTGTCCAGCCAATAAGCATGAGAACGATTAGGGTTCTCGTCCAAAGCCTTTAGTTTTAACAAGAGCCTGACCGCAAGGCAGCGGGTGAAGTGAAGTAGAGGCCCATTTACTTGGATCAATTACTCTTCTACTGTTTTACCGACTGAGACGCTAACTCGAGTTCGACCTCTACCCATTGACCTTTCAGGTATGATTAGGTCTGCGGCTTGCTAAAAGCCATCCTGTGTAGCTCGTTGGGTCATAGAGGTGCACAAGCCATCACACCACTTCAAGGTGCAGTCGCCTCATGATTTCCCCCATTTACAAAGACGGCTTTCGCAGTGACCCCGCCAACTACCGCCCTATGAAACTTCTACCGATACTGTCGAAAGTCATGGAAGCTATTGTGGCAGATCTGTGGATAGAGTATCTGGAGAAGCATGAACTTTTCTCTCCAACTCAGCACGGTATTTGGCACAAGCTTTCGTGCACCACAAATCTAATTCTTGTACGAGATGAGTGGACAAAATCCGTCAATCTAGGTCAGTCATTGGATATAGTTTATTTGAATTTCTCCAAACCATTTGATCGAGTAAATCACCAAATTCTACTGCGAAAACTCTACAACTACGGAGTACGAGGTGTGTGTGTGGTTCTGAACTGGATCAAATAGTTTTTCCGACAAAGAACCATGTCAGTTCGTGTTGGTGATTCATTATCAGAGCTTATCACCGCTGTCCGACGGGTTCCTCACGGATCCATACTGGGGCCTCATCCCTTTCTTGCATTTATGAACGACCTGCCACGTGTCTTTGGACCTAATATACTACTATTTGCGGACGACTCTAAGATTTGGAGAACTGTAACACATCCAGAGGATTATATAGCACTCCAACAAACGATCAAAGTAGCCCGCCGATCGGTTGCCAATGACATCGAGTTCAAGGTTTCCAAATGCAAAGTTATTTCCATGCGGCACAAAACTTGTTTCTCCTATGTTCTGGGGAACCAAATACTACCGCATGCCACTGACGAAAGGGATTTGGGAGTCATGGTCCAGAGGACATAGGATGTTCCATGCACTGTGCCAGGGCATCATCCATGGCTTTGAAGCAAGTTGGACGTGTTTTCGGGCAGTTCGAAAGAGCGCTGTTCCCACGCTTGGTATCAGCGTTCGTTCGGCCACACACGGAGTACGCCGTTCAAGTATGGAATCCATAGTTGAACCACGACAAGAAGGCTCTAGAGCGTCGGCAAAGATGGGCAACAAAATTGGTAAGAGGTCTGTAGAACAAAACATACTCCGAAAGACTGCAACTATTGGGACTACTCATCTCAATACCGCTGACTTCCGGAGGGGGACCTAATTTTGGCATATCACATACTGCATTAACCCAATCACCCTTGCCGTTCCATGCTAAGTTTATCTCAAAATGATCACCTTAGGGGACATCCACTAAAGTGAAGACCCAGAACAGCCTCATTGATTGCCGGCATCACTCGTTTGCGGTCAGAGTGTGGCGTATGGAATTCTCTTCCATCCGATGTAGTGTGCTCCTCCTGTTGAACTATTTGAATAGTAACTTGATAAGGCATTGGAACTTAAAATTTCGATTTCTGTGATCGATCATACAAATTATTATTATTATTTTCTCTTTGTGAAGTTATTCAAAATATTCTGTAACAATCCTATGGGACATGATAAGCTTTAGCTTTGTTAAATCGCCCATAATAAAACTTTGACTTTGTTTAAACAGACTAAGCACGTTTTCTGATTTTCGGAGTGATATATATATATATATATATATATATATCACGGATGCTCGCGATGGACGAAAGTGTGCCTAGTAAGAACGATTGTTGCTTACGCGTGTAGATTATAAACTAGATTGGAAACGTTTCCATTATGCTTGGGGCATCGCGGCAAGTCAGACTCTTGGTTTATCCCTATTCGCTTACAGTTCTTGGTTTATTATGGTCTCGATGGAGATTCTATCCATAATTGATTAAAAAAGTGTATTCTTGACTTGCGTGCAGCGCATCAGGTAGCGATAAGGAGATCTACATAGTGGGGCGTCATTTTCAACTGAACGAAGGGTTAGACTAATTTCCTTTTGAATTTGAGCATTGCTGGTAATTTAAACACCTCAGCGAGGAAAAAAACGCGTATGTGATATCAAATGAAACCAGATCTTTCATTGAAATTTTGGTGTCAGTTCTCGAATAATATACAGAACCAACGCGTCGTGTGAAATTTTCATTTCAACCACTCCAGTGTTCTGATTGCCTTATATTTACTTGGCTATTCATGTTAGACTACGACTATCCGTCTTAAATTTACTAGATGTATGTATGTCAGATGATATACAGAAATGGCT